GGGTTTTTAAAAGAGAAACTGAGTTCTTTCTATGCACAGTCCAAGCCCTTTTCTCTGCATTGTTAGGTAACCGACTGTATCTACAACACATACTCAGTCTTTATGTTGCACTCTGGTTTAGCTGTAAGCATACAGTCTAAGTTGCATTCTCCACCCCAGTAAGACACTGCTACAAACTGACAAGGTTGCAGCTACATTGCACCATTCTGTCTGAGTGGCATTAACAAGGATTTTTTTTTCTTTTCAACAAATCACATTATTGTCCCAACAATGGTGTGCCATTCATCTGTAGAATAAAGTCAGGGGCAGCAATGCTGAACTGGCTGTCAAGCTGACAGCCACAGGACGGTAAGCATTATGGATTGAATGTTTTTTAACTGGAACAAACGGGGGTTATAGGATGTTTATTGAATGCTCAGATGTCTGATTGTATAGTTAACCTATTATTATTACCTGCAGCCTTTTAGTTACAGTGTTGCTTGGAGGTTTCTGTGGTCACTTATATGGATCAAGGCTCTCCTTCTATGTTGAAAACTATACCTGGAAACAGCTACCACTTAGTTAAGTGTCATTTCTTATAGAAGAAAACAACTCTAAGCATTAGTATTATAGCAGTGAACACTTTTAGTTTGGGAGGGGTGCTTCCAGTCATATCCAGCATGTTTCCAATGCCTTTTATTTCACTTACTGTAATTCACTCCATACTAAAGCACTAGCCAAATGAATGTAATGTTAAGGTCAGCCTTGGCATTTCAATTTTTAAAGATGAGAGCTCATCTAGAGTATGCGACTATGATTTTAATACTATGATTTTTACTCCTGGTGTTGTTATGACCAGACCAAGAAAACTGGAATCAATTGCACGACTCGACACACAGGGAATCAGTTTGATTACTTAGCAAGGTTCGGTACACAAGAGATCCAAAAACACAGGCAAACAAGTCCGAAGGTCAAAGACAAAAAGGCAAGTCAAAAGGAAGTCAAGGAATCCAAAAAACAAAAGTACAAACAATGCGAGAGAGAATGCTGGAACGCTTGAATATACAGACAAAGACAAACTAACACAGAAGGGAGAAAGCACACAGACTACATATTACACAGGTGTGGGGGTAATCAGGCACAGGTGCAGGGGATTAGGGCGGGGCAAACAATTACAACATTTTGGAAACACACGAGGGCAGGAAGTGAAGGGATCGGAAACGAGAGGGAGAGACATAAAACAGGAAACTACAAACTACAAAACAACAAGACAAAACCATAAGACCAAAGACTAAACCATTACAGGCGTCACATTATTTAGTACTTTCTTTTATTGTTTATGGGGGAGGGGTTACTGATTTACTATTTGTTGATCAGTATATTCTGACTGCTCTTTGCTTCCATACAGAAGCTTACTTACTTCATTGGTGTTGTGCCTTGAACATCTCTCAGCCTCAAACACCAACAACTTTTAATTTAACGGGTGACGACAACATTTTGGCATTCTCTTTAGTTTCAAGCCTTAGCGGGAAACAGATTACTGGATAATGTTTGTGCAGACTTCTCTTTAAAAGGTTATGGCATTTAAAGTTTTCTGCACAGATTAAGCAAAATTATATGTTTTGTTAATGTTTTTCCAGCAAAGAGGTGATGTAACCTTGTTCGGGGGAAAGCCTGATGCATTAGTAAAATTACTCTACAATGGCCTGTTGGCATGATACTTGGGGGACTGCTAATAGTCTGGATGTGAAAGAATATTAAAAAGAATTCAACACTGTCATGCTTGCCCATTCTGTTTGGTGTGAGTCCCTCTCTGCGGGAACAGACTGATTATAACAGAGGCAGACAACGAACCCCTAACCCATCCCCACTCCGTCTCTCTGATAGAGATGAGGGAAGATATGTTTAAAAATAAATGGGTAAATATTATCTTGCTGCCAGATGCACCATTTTGAGAAGCCTGTTCAAACTTACACCGCCAACTGCAACTCAAGCCTTTAATACTGTAGTTCTGCTGTTTACAGATTACACGCAGGAGTTTGAAATGCATTGCCGGTTAAATGCTCAATGTGGTATTGTGCCCGCATCAACAAATGAATCCTTTAGAAATATTTTGCCCTCAAGTCAAATGAGATAATAGGTAATACAACAACTGAACCTTTTAAAATTTTAACATTTCCATCTGCATATGTAAGATCGTGAACAGGAAACAAGTGATATCCACTGCAGCAGAATATTCCCTCTGTTTTGGCTTTAATTTTACATGCAATATGATATTGTACACTAATCATATTTGTACCATACCATACTGCACGGTATTTATCCTTCAACAACCCCCGCAACTGATGCAATAGTGAGTGCCAATTTTCTATTTGTATCTGATACTGCAAAGGACAACTCAGATATTTCTTCTACTACTTGCTACTATAGTCTCTGCATCCTTTGATAGCTGAGGATCAAAATATAAATACAAATTTTGAACAAATGTTTAAAGAAATGTTCACATAATCCTATAGAACAACATTTGTGTGCGCCTCATCCATACTGTAGGGTGTTTTTTACTGGAGGTGGTGTTGTAGTTAAAATTTGTTGAACTTTGACCTCAAACTGCTCTGACCTTTACAAGTGCAACCAATTTCTGTAGGCTACTGGTTGTGCTGAGAATAAAAATGGAGGACAAGCTATTAAAGAGTGTTTCTGAAACGCAATAACAAATGATAATTATTTTGAGACTTATTTTGGGGCGAAATAACAACCTTAATGTCTCTGTAGCAATATAACTGATGTTCATATCATGGTATATATATCTTTGAAAATGGGTATTACTAGGTAGTTACAAATTAATATTGTACAATAAGTTAGTTCATTATTGGTCCGACACTGAGCAAAGCACCCCTTGCTTTTCTGCTATAATATTAATATCGCTCAAGACTTGCATTCCTGTAATGCAGCATACACACAGTCATACTGTATGCAGGACTATCATACAGTATCAAAAAGAAGCGCGGTGCTTACTGTACAGGGGTGCTATACAAAAATCAAAACCCAGGTGAACAAAAGTCTGAGGGTAGTAATAATTACACCAGCAGTTCCACCACCATCATTATGCATAAACCTAATCAATGGTCATTGCGCTTAAGGGGAGCTGCGATGTTGTTAATGAATAGTTCCAATGAGCAGTGAGCTGTGTGTTTGTGCGCGTGCGTGCACGTGTGTGGTTAGTGTTAATGTCTCTAATGAATGGATGTGGCACACGGAGCCTGTGGACACCTGCTGTTGCCATTAGTCCCAAAGAGCAGACTAATCACTCTGGCTTTCAAATCTGAGCAGGTTATTCAGTGTCCCTCAAACTCAAGGACCCTTTATTACGAAGCACATGAGTGTTCAGTGATAATGCTGGCTTATTCAGATATATGCTTCTTCCAGACACAGTGGTACATTCTTTGCAGACCTAAAGAATAAAGTAGCGCATGTCCAAGTATGAATTGGACAAACAAGCACACATATCCTCACACGTTCACACTGGCTACCATCTGTTGCCTCCCACTTTGTCTATACCTTACTCCGCTTCCCTTCCTCTGCCAAGCTCGTTGATTAAATCATCCTCGCAAGAATTTCAACATATCAATGCTCAGTGAATCTCAGTTCCTACCTGTTCCCATGGCTACTAGAAAGACAGAGAGCAGAACTATGGGAGATGTAGTTTTTCTCTTAACTGGTCTGACTACTCCGGTTCCAGCGGCATGGTGGTGTTGCTCATTTTGATCTGAAGATAAAAATGCAATATACATGTTTTGGTGACAGAGAGGATTCTTGTAAGGTCAGATGGGGCAGAATGGCGAGGTGCTAGACTGAGGGACAGAGGGAAAAAGAGAGCGATGACAGCTGCGAGAGGAAATAAAACGGGATGGCTAGATGAAAGATTGAGCGTAAGGGGTTACCAGTGCAATGGTTGCGCTGCAGGACTCAGCTGTGAACTGTTGATTTACAAGGCCTGAAGGACAGCCACGGCCTTCCGCCCACTCTGTCGCCATGGGAGACGGTGGAGAGGAGGTCTCGTCTCCTTCTCTTCCTCACCCTCATTCTCTCTCCTTTACAGTATGTATCCCTCTATCTCTAAACTTGTTTTTCTGTCTATCAGCCCTCCCTTTCTTGATAAACCACTGAGTTTAAAACAATTATCATTCGGAATCAGCCCACTAAATGACAGTTAAAACCAACCTCCAGGAAGGTGAGTAATGATGAAAATTGAAATAATTACCCAGTGGGCGATGGTCAGTCTTTCTGTGTGCCTATCTTCCTGCATGCACACTGCCCATTCATTTCATTGGTCAGTCCAGCTGTACTTCCCTTGTTGGTAATGTGACTGAAATGTGTGTTATCAAAGGGCTGCAGGCCTCAGTGTACTGGCAGTAGCAATGGAGAAAGGAAAGAAACCACAAACAGGAACTATAGCCTGCTTCCAGGAACCACCACCTCAACTCACACACACACACACACACACACACACACAACACACACACACACACACACACACACACACACACACACACACACACACACACACACACACATAAACACACACTCAGAGACATGCACTGATGCATGTGTATACACACAAACACTCAGTATCTGTGTCTGTCTCTAGTCCCTCTTACTACACACCACCCTGTCTTTATCTCAGAAGGCAGAAGCAACAGTTAGTGATCACATGACCACAAGAGTCTGTCCTCATTTGTGTGTTAGCTGGTCAGCTCAGGCTCAAAGTAAACATTAAATAAAGGAAGTAGAGGCAAGTAGAATGAGTGCAGTTTGTGAAACATTTCTTTTGTTCCACTCTATTTTACTATTTAAACAGAATACACTGATAGAGAGCCTGAAGAGCTAAAGGAGTGAGAAAGAGAGGGAGGGAGGCGAAGGAGGGAGGGGGGGATGCTGTTGCCACAGCAACCAGAGCCGCGGTGGTTGTGATCATGAGACTTGTTCTGCATTGTGTGTGTGTGTGTGTGTGTGTGTGTGTGTGTGGACACAGCGCGTGTGAGTTCACCCTCCTCTCTCCAGACAGGAGGCGAGGACATCCCCCTCTAACACTGTGCCAACAGAGAGAGGAAGAGAGCAGAGAGAGAGACAGAGAGAGAGAGAGAGATAGAGAGGGAAAGAGAGAGAGACTGAAACCCCATAATGCACTGCACGCTGCAGGGCTGAAGTCGTGCAGATTCATCAGTTCCTGTTCGGAGGGACCGTGTGTAAGCACACACACTCATACACCCAGACCGAGTGCAAGAGAAACACACAGACAGCCAGGCAGGTAAGACAGCTTTCCTCCGACCGTGCAGACGGCTACTGGGTTTACAAGATGATGTTTATCTGTCCATCGCTGCCTCATTAGAGGAGGAGAGGGGAGAGTTGCTCTAGAGACGACAGGGTGTCATTAATATTAGACATGTTATGATTCCGACAACTTCTCTGCCTGTTGCTATTTGCTGCTACTGTATTTTTTTCTTAGTTGCAAATAACTGAGTTTGGGATTTTTCAAAGGACGATTTATCATAAAGAGATTTGAAATAGCTGATATGCATGTGGAATATCTGTGAGTTTTTGTCTGTCACTGGCTTTGCTTTTTGCACGTTTTTTCTTCCTTCTAGCTTTCAGATACTGTTGAACTGTAGCTGATTTGAATACAGTATTCACTTTGTCATTCTGAGGACTGTTTACTTTTCATCCGCTTTGGGTACAGTCCAGCCTGTTTATGTAATAGAATTGTTCAATCGTCAACAGTAATGTAGAAAGTTTGGTTTTAAAGATTTAATTATGAAGCATCCAGTTAATGTTGCATGTTTTTTGTCTGATCATCTTCATTCAACAACATGACCCAATGATGCATTATGCTGTAAGTTACACTTTCATGATGATGATCACTCATGAGGCATTTTTGGATTATGTTTCCATACCTCTTTGTAATTTAAATTAAATATATAGTAGTTGGTTCCATGATACTACAAATACATACATAAACTAAGCCTGTCTGTGTTTGTATGTTATCCCCAGTAAGATTAGTGCAAGCTGATTGGCGGGTAAAAGTGTGGCTTCTCCATTACGGGTCATTTTGTGGTTTAACAGCCACTGAGGCTTGTGACCATATCTGTTGCGCCAGATACACAGGCTGGAAAGCATGATTGCAGCAGCTTAGGGCAGGGACTCTTAAACTTTATTACCCAATGGGAAATTTCAGTCCTCCACCCTGGGACCCCATCGGGAAATTATGTTTCAACACTGTCATACAGAGACACAACAGAAGGTCAAAATAAGTGCTTTGAGTGAGAAATAGGTTTAAATAAAACTATTTTCTGAATTAAAATTTATTTATTCCAAAAGGACATCATTTAAATGTCAGAGATCCCTGCAGAAAACAGGAAAACGTAAGTTGTATTATCTCAAATATCAGCTTTTAAATAAAACATGGCTCAAGGTAATTGTATTTATATTACCCTTTATCGCACAAAAGTCTCAAAGGAGCTTTGTTATTTGTGTATCTTGCACCTTTTGACAGTGTGTATTATGTGGATGTGGGAAGCTGTTTATGCAGAACACTGTAACGGACTATGCAAAGAGCTTTTGCAGCTTGGGAAATAAAATGCAAAAAAGCCATAATGCAGATCAGACAAAAAAAAATCGTTTGAATATTCAGTTTGTCTCCATTTAGCTCTGACAGAGCACTGCATCTATCTGCACTTCCCCTGCAGAAATCCACCTGTCAAAACTCAAAATGGAGAGGCTCCTCTTTTTCATTATGGTTCCTTTCATTAAGAGTCCTCCTTCACTATCTGTGTTGTCGCCTGATAGAATTATCCACCAGACACCTATGTGACAGTAGCATCTATATCTCTGCCTCCGCTCTGTAATAATTCAGCGGTGGTGTTTGGGAGACTCAAAGCTGCCTGATAAAAGTATACATGTATGTGTCTATATACTGTAGCCCTCTGGGTATACAAGGTGTTCCTGAAAGAGTGTGTTATAGTGAGCTCAGGATGAAGCAGAGAGATACTGTATGCAAGGAAAAGAAAAGCAGAAAGATGTATGTCTGTCTTTAGTTATAAGTTTAAGAATAACAGTGGTCCTACCACAGCTATTTCAGTGGTGAGTGTCAGTGTTTGGGAGGTTTTTGAACAATGGTCATTCATATACCCAACCACTGGTCTGTTATAGAGTTCTGTGTTGACAGATTCAAACATTTTCCACTGAGGTCACATCTTGGGGCTCAAGATTATGTTGGTACCAGAACACAGGGCTGTTCAGACTATAAGAAGAAAGACACAGAGACTCTGCAAGGTCATGCAGTTTTAACAGACTGAAATAGCTACTGCTGTTTGAAGATCATCTGTTTAATGATTTGACCTTAGATACTCAACAATAGAGCAGAGGTCTGTTATGAATGCTGAAAACCTCTCACTCCGGGTCACCCTGCTGGATTTTCCATTCGGTAAGAGGTTCTCCAGCAGATATTCTTTTGCTCTTGGTCCAACTCTGACTTTGCTTAGCAGCATGGATCAAAGATGATATATGGATCCAAATCTCCTTGTCTGACTCCTCCTGTCTTTGTTCTTTTTCTCATTTTTCCCCCCTCACTCCTGTCTTTAATGGTCTGGAACACAAAGGACACATGTTCATGGATCCGTGGCCTCATTTTGATGATCAGAATGAGTGAGGATGTGACGGACGCTGGGTTGTGTGGAAAGCCTCAAAAGTCCTTTTTGTTCTCTCCTTCGTACATAGACATCAGCAGAGCAGTGAGCAGGAACCATAGTATGCATTAAATTATCTGCAAATGCAGCAATTATCACTCTTCCTTATGTCTTCATGTCTTTCCCTTTAGACTAGAAATCTACTGGTGGAAAGTACATATGCTCAAGTACTGTACTCAGATATGATTCTAAAGTACTTGTTATTTACTTGAGTATTTCCATTTTATACCACTTTGCACGTCTACTTCCTTATGTCTCATGGGGAACTAGTAGAACATTGCAGATTCATACAATGAGCATTTAAAATACAACGCATTGTAATAGCTACAACATTAAAATGATGCTTACACATTAATGCACAAACAATACTCCAGTAATACAGAATAAAATAATATACTATAACACTGACATAGCCTCCATAGTGAGTACTTTTACTTGTGATATCTTTGATACTAAGTACATTTAACTTTTTACAGCTTTTTACTTACTAATCAATATTTCTATATTAACAATGGGTCAGATGCCAACGTGTAATGTAAAACATGTCACTCGTGGTAAAGGACCCACAAAATGATCACCTGATTATGCAGTTCTCTTTAGTTCCATGTAGCGCTTCAGCAACTTTTAGCTCATTGTGTTGGTTTTCTTTACTGCTTTGGTTCACTCTCGCCGCTGTCATCAGTGTCAAAGCTCTAAAAGCTCTGAAAATTGACTGTACCCATCCATGAGCAAGGGCGAAGTTAGCAACTAACTGGGGAACATAGTGGAGCATTTAGCAGCTAAGGAGCTTGATGGTTTACCCAGGAGTTGGTGGAGACCAAACTCGAGGTAAAAGGAGAATGAATATTGAACTGACATTGGCCAGGTCATCAGAAACATGACTCCAAATGAACAGCGATTTTGCTCTGTAGCTGCTGGATGTGTAAATTAGCAACTGTTAGCAAAATTTGAATGCAAGATTTTCTTGAAATTGAGTATTTTTTTTACATTGTGTTATTGCTACTTTTATGCAAGTGAAGGATCTTCTACTGCTACTTTTCCCAGGGGTAGAAGATGTCGTGTAGCATACTGAAGTGTCATTGAGCAAAACACTAAACACATCTGTGCTCTGAGTGAGGCTTTTTCCAGAGAAAAGTGCGATAATTTCCTTTAGTTTCAGAGTCAACATGTATTCTAGACAATCACAAGACAACATGTACACACTTAGAGACAATGCATTCTGTTCCCAATTCATCCTTCCCAATCCTGGAAGACAACTGCAGGGCCTTTTTTGGGCACAAGTCAGTGACTTGCCAGCTCTAAAATCGAAATTCCATATAACCAGCGTCTGTAGTGCGTTGCTGTGGCTCTATGAACAAATTGATAAATATTTATAGAAGCTGGAGCTAAACATTAACACTTAGAGCAGCACAGATCCATCATAGGTGCTTTTGAGGGCAGGCTGCAGGCTGCTGTTCAATCAACACCTTTCCCTTACACTCTTACACACATACACACACACACACACACACACACACACACACACACACACACACACACACACACACACACACACATGTACACACAAGCCAATACAGTGATAAATTCCAAACACCCTGATATATTGCAGCCACAAGTCAGTGATGTGGCTCTGAGTCACTTGGTAACACCCACCTGACACATACACACACACCTCCGCAAACACACAACACCACGCACTCACACATGCTCACATAGACACACATGCACCTGACGTAGTGTTTGATGGAGTTAGACACCATGGCAACAGAGCTGTGACTCTTGCTGTCCTGTGAGTGGACTGAAGCTGTGGAGGAGGGAGGAGAAAGCTACCAGCTAGCACTGCTACTCAAGTGCAGCTATTATTATTCCCAATCTCTCTGTCTCTCTATTCTGTTTTTTTCCCCCTTTTTCCTTGTCTTCACCACAACTGCTATCCACATGCCGTATTTCTGTTTTTTCAAGTGCAATGTAAAGGCTGTAAGTTGGAAAAAACTCAACCAGGGGGAGCAGAGCAGGCAGCAGAGAGGTCAGCAGGCATGTATTTTTAAAGCCATCGATTGTGCAAAACCTGACACATCATCAGAGGGAATCGCGCTGATTCTCACAGCCGCAACTAGACAGCAGTCTGGATGGCGTCTTATTTGTTGACATATTATTTTTTATCTCGCACTCTAGCTCGCTGCATCACACTGTTTCAATCACATAACAAAATGATTTAACTCCTCTCCTTCTCTGTCTCTGTTTAACCCTTTTTTTTTAAATTATTAGATTTTTTTTCTGCAGTTTATTTTCTCTCTCTGTTTCTTCCAATCATGTTTTTATAAAGGCAGTAGCACAGGCGAGGAAAGCAGAGGGAGGTAGAGAGAGGTGCAGGTGGACAGGAAACACACAACAGCATCTGTATGAGATTTACTGCCTGCAGATACAGATGGTGGAGAGACTGCGAGGAAGGAGAAGAGGGAGAGGGAGGTGTTGGAACAGTGCAGGTGAATTGCATTTTGGTCTCCGGTAGCATTTTCACGGTCTGATTGTTAGCATTTGTTAACATACACACATGCATGCAGAC